AAGAAGATGTGTGGGATGGAAACCTTTTCAGTTAAGCGATGTCCTCTGCATCAGTGATGAAAACCAAGACTCCAACTACAATAGGCGACATTCATCCCCTGTGAATCTTCTCCCAGAGGCTTGCAACTCAGGGACACTGGGTGTGCCAGCACACACAAATTCGGATTAACCAGACAACATAGAGATGGCCCCTGAAACCTCAGCTAATGAGAGGCAAAGCATTCTGCTTGTTTGTTTTATTTATTAATTTTATTTTGCTAACTCTTTCAAACCCAGACGTTTAAGTTTTTCTTTTACCTGTGCATGTTTGAAGGCCACCATAGCCGTCTCTCGACTATTTGGGAACCAGTACTAGGTGCTGAGGAAAACAGAATCCAGATGTTCCACTTATTTACCTAACAGATACCTCGGTAGCATATACTGTCTACTAGGATTGGTCGGAGTGCTTTCCAAATATTGATTCATTTAAGCTTGAGAACAACCTGACAAGGTATGTACTCTCATCCCCACTTTATGGATGAGGAAGCGGAGGTGCAGAGGTTCGTTGGCCACATAGCTGGGTTCACACTCAGGCTGTCTGGTTTCTACCCACCCTGCCCTTCCGCCTCTCACCGTGCCCGGTTGCCCCTTGCTCTGCCCTGTGGCTTCTCTGCTGGGAAGTAATTGTTGGTGGTGGAGCTGGGATTTGAACCCTAGTCTCCTAAACCCTTGTCTTGTGCTCTCTCCACTATAGGAAGTTTCTACACAATGAGAGATTCAACTCACACCATTTTTATTACAGGAGAGGGAGGGAATTCAAAGCTTTAATTAGAGAAGGGATGAATAGTGTAGTTTAAAAGAGGGTTTGTGGGATTATTGATAACTAGCAAATACTTTTCTTATTCAATTAAGAAACATGCTTTCTGGGGGAAATAATGTACAGACAGCATGGCGATGATAGTCAATAACATTGTACTGCATATTTGAAAGCTGCTAAGAGAATAGATCTTAAAAGTTCTCATCGGGGGCTTCCCTGGTGGCGCAGTGGTTGAGAGTCCGCCTGCCGATGCAGGGGACATGGGTTCGTGCCCCGGTCCGGGAGGATCCCACATGCCACGGAGTGGCTGGGTCCGTGAGCCACGGCCGCTGGGCCTGCATGTCCGGAGCCTGTGTTCCGCAATGGGAGAGGCCACAACAGTGAGAGGCCCGCGTACCACACACACACAAAAAAGTTCTCATCAAAAAAAAAAAGTTCTTATCACAAGAAAACAAATTCTATAACTGTGTATGGTGACAGATGTTAACTAGACTTATTGTGGTGATCATTTCCCAGTATATACAAATACGAAATCATTATGTTGTACACCGGAGACTAATATAATGCTGTATGTCGGTTATACCTCAATTTCAAAAAAAAATAAATCAATTTAGTTATATATTACCCCCCCCAAAAAAGAAGAAAAACAAAATCATATACTTTCTGGTTTGGGTTTTCTTCTTGTTGAGGATCTGAGGAGATGAGCTTCCTCCCCTGGCTTTGGAGGACTCACACTTCCAGCGCTTCCCTTGTTTCTCAAAGTGGTCCATGGACCAGCAGCAATGGCATCACTGGAGAGATGGTTAGAAATGCAGAGCTTCAGACCCCACTCCAGACCTCTTGACTCAGAATATACATTTTAATAAGATTCCCACGTGATTTATGTGCACATTATGATTTGAGAATCACAGCAGAATACCCCAGAGAAGTGTCAAGATGGAAGCCCGGAAGTGTACTGTTTGTACAGAAAAGTAATTGAGGGAGGGGAGAGGTGCTCCGCAAGTCTCATCTATAGCAAAATTATGACGTGCCGGAAGTCAGTCCTTGGCCCAGTACCTGCTCTCATTTTCTCTGTTCTGTCTCCCTTTCCCCTCTGCGTCCTTTAAAAAGGTGGCTTTTCCAGGATGCCCTCTTGAATTTACGATTTTTTTTTGCATATGAGGGTTCTCTCATTGTTTCCTACCTAGTACAGTCCACATCTCCATCTCCACGTGAAATTTCTCTTGCGAGCCCCAGACCCCTATTTCCAACAATGTATCGAGCACCTCTGCCAGGCAGCTATCTGATTGTCTCCAGCGCCTTCATGTCAGAATATCCGGGACTGAGTTCCTTGCTCTACCCACAGCTTCCTGTGTCTTGTGTCTCAGTTACCCTTAAACAATTCCACCATCAACTCAGCCTCCCAGGCCAGGCATCTTCTCTACCCTGATGCCAAAGTTTTCTTCTAAAAACTGCAGATCAGATTACATTGTTCTGTCCTTAACGCTTCAGTGATTCCAGATCACCTGCAGAATTATGTCCAAACTTCTTCCCATAGATGGCGTCCAAAACCCAGAGGGCTCAGGCCCCTTGCTACATATCAGACTCCACCCTCCTCCTTTTCCGCACCCTCACGTCCTCCTGCAGGCCGGTCCCAAAAATGCCGTTCTGCCACGTCTGCCTGTGCAGACATTACCTCCTTCTCCCCTTCTGTGCTGATTCTTTGCATTTTCCATACTTTTATTGTTCTGTGTATCACACTGTTTTGTAATAATTTGTTTTCATATCTGTTTGTGTTATAGATTTGAGGTCCTTGAGGGGAGGGAGTCTGTCATTAAGTTGTCTTTCAGCTTTACGTCTCTAGCTCCTAGCACCATGTTCGTCATTCAGTAAGCACGCAATAAATCCTGGATAGATAGATCATTGAGTGAATGAATGAATTTACACACCTGCTACCTGTTTTCCCTTTCTCTTGCCATCCTATTCCCTGAAATCTCCCAAAAGGCGTCAGCGTCATCAAAACATGTGATCCTGGGTCTTCCTTCTCAAGCATTAAAGTGGGTGCCGAATCTGTGCTGATACGCCAAGAGTAGTTAAGAAGTTTGCCTGTGTTATTCCAAGTTTTAAGTTATATTTTAATCCGGGTCTCTCAGAGAAAGCCTCTTAGGGGAGGCACTTTGTAAAAGGTTCCTGACGGCACCTCTGAAGACTGGGGGAAGAAATATACTGACCGAATGGACAAATCTGTCAACCGCTTTCAAGACACTGCCAATGCCATATAAGAGCTGGCCTTGTTTATCCAACAGGTGGATGCTCCTACAGTATGTGAAGAGACAGACATTTTGCCTCCTGGTCGATTAGGGGAGGACTTCTTCTACACTTTTAGCAAATGCCAAGTTCAGCCCTAGGAATTAGACAAACAGTGACCGTGGGCCAAATCTGTCCACTGCATGTCTTTGTAAATGAAGTTTTATCGGAACACAGCCATCCCTAGTCACTTCTATATTGTCTGTGGCTGCTTTGCGCTTCAGTAGAAGAGTTGAGTAGTTGAGACAGACACCGTTTGACACACAATATCTAAAATATATACTGTCTGGCCCTTTACAGGAAAAGTGCACTGACCCCTAGAGAATCCAAAATGTGATGCTTTCTTGATTTGACATTTTTATAATCTCCTTTTTATTGTCAGTGAGATGCTACTAATTGTCAAAAATGACTTAGACCCCTCATGCAAGGACACAGCCTCATATACTGTGGAGATACCAACACTGTGACAAGATTTGCCAATTTAAAAAATCAGATCAGTTAAATTCTTGACATCAGCCAATGCTAGTGCAACTGACAACTACAATAAATCTTAAAAGTTCTCATCACAAGAAAAAAAACTTCTGTAACTATGTATAGCGACAGATGTTAACTAGACCTATTGTGACGATCATTCCCCAATATATACAAATACAGAATCATTATATTGTTCACCTGAAACTAATATAAGGTTGTAAGTCATTTATACCTCAATAAAAAATAACGATAAAAAGAACTAACAAACAGCAGGCTTCCCTGGTGGCGCAGTGGTTGAGAGTCCGCCTGCCGACGCAGGGGACACGGGTTCGTGCCCCGGTCCGGGAAGATCCCACATGCCGCGGAGCGGCTGGGCCCGTGAGCCATGGCCGCTGAGCCTGCGCGTCCGGAGCCTGTGCTCCGCAACGGGAGAGGCCACAACAGTGAGAGGCCCGCGTACCGCAAAAAAAAAAAAAAAAAAAAGAACTAACAGCTACAAAAATGGTCGTAATAGAACCAAACTTAAGAATGTTTTGAATAAAGAGATTGCCATTGCTGATGGCAGCCTGCAATGGATGAGTGAGATATAATTGCATTTGTTTATCTGAAGTTTGGTCTTTATAATCATACACAATCGTAGTCAAGAAACTTGTATTACAGTCCTCGGAGATTGGATGCTGCAAAAATAACCTTCTGCTGTTCAGATATGCCTGAGTTTGTCTCAAATTAAGAACTACAGAAATACATACCATTTTCATGGTAGAAGAAATTATTCTCATCACCCAGAACTTTCTGAATGTCTCTTTCTGCTCTAGGTCCATTTGTGATGAACACAGATGAAGAGATTTCTCAGGCCATTCTTGACTTCAGAAATGCAAAAAATGGCTTTGAAAGAGCCAAAACCTGGAAATCAAAGATTGGAAACTAGTGACAAGGGCAAGGGCAGGTCTGGCTGCCTTCTAGAATTTTGCCCTTTGTGGCATCCACCCGTTCAGTGCATCCAGTTTCCAAAGCTGACTTCGCCAGTGCTCTCAAGAATTCCACACTCAAGTGATGACGTGTTTTCTATAGCAACGTCTGTGAGATATTTCCTGGCCCAAGCAAATAAACCTAATTGTTGCTTCTTTAAAAATCAGTGTTCTTCATTTCAATCTAAGTTACTTCTGTTAAAAAAATTATTTTGTCTATGTTTTCCTTTTCATGGGCATGTGGACATTTTGTCGTCTTTGTGCCTGTGTGTTTTTTAAAGCACATTTGATTACTTTCTGTGTGTCACTGATGGAGGTGCGTGAGCATCTGAGGTCTCTTTCTGAGCAACGCAGTTTCGATGCCTATGTGCTGGGGTTTCATGTTACAGGTTATCTCCGTGGGTAAAGTAACAGCAGTTCTGAGCGTTTCAGTCAGTTTTCAAAACTGCCCTGCTATTGGTAGGGACACGACAGGATTACGGCCAAGACTTCCCTGCTTTTTCTGCCAAAATGTGTGTCAGATTTAAGACACATGCTCCTGCAAGCTTCCATGAGGGTTGTGAAAAAAGTTTGAATCCACAACTGGGTCCCAGCCTTCTGTAGCTGCAAACATTGGTGGCCAAACCACCTCCTTCTAAAACAACTCAAACCTGGGGCACAGGGGGGGAAGATTTTTTTTTTTTTAGTTTGCTGGAAATGAAATGGACTTAGAGGCTTTCTCATTTCAAGTAGAAGACATATCCACTTCCTGATTATTTTTGGAGCGTACGAACATTTAAACTTTTTTTCAGTTCTCTCCCCCCCATAAGATTGTGCAGAAACGTACCTTGACTAATTGATTTTGATCACAACTGATTATTTGTTTTTCCCTGTGAACTCCTGGGGTTTCGAACTTTCCTTCTGGAGAATATGCCTTTTGAACCAGTTTGCTCTAGCTGCCTGAGGTCAACTGCTTGGTAATCAGTGGATATTAGAATATTCAAAATGTACAGACAGTGGGCAGTGGTGAATATTTTCATGATGTCTTCTCTGCAGTTGGTGCAGAGCTCCAGTTATGAACATGGACCAGTGAAGGTAGGTGAGCTCAATTTTTCATGTGATGCAGATTTTTAAGTTGGCTTATACAGAGGATGTTCTTTCTTTGCCGCCACTATTTTTGAGACAATATAAAAATGCATAACACTCCTCGTAGTGGGCAGGATATATTCTGTACTTGTTAATGAGTATTCTGTTTCTTAGGCTTACTAAGATTCTTGCCATGAGTTTTTGAAAACGCTGGGGGTGGGGGCTTTTGGAGATGTAATAGGACATGAAAGTTTCCCCTCAACTGTATGTGCAGATTTTTTTTATTTGAAACAAATTGACTTACAGGGTTGTGTTACTTTCTGCTGTACCACAGTGATTTTCTCATGAAGCATTGACTTGTTTTTATGACACAGATAACTTTGGGGGCTGTTTATTTTCAGGTCATCTGTGAGCTAGTTTAGTTAGTTAATTTCTTCTGGGAACTGAAAACTGCCATGCTTTCTACAGATGTTTTCTATCTGGTTTTCCAAATTACCCATTGCCACCATCTAGAAAAATCTTTTCTCTGAAGTCGTTTTGGTCCTTTGCTTTTTGAAACGTGTGTAAAACTCAACCATAATCAAATCTTTGATTCTATGGGCAGGCGTCAGATAGAGCCCAATGAATTGAGAGTAATGAAAAAAGATTAACTGGGGTGTTACTGTCTGAGCACTATTTCGCCCAGTTTTATTGTATTTCATAGACTGTACTGTTTTTCTCAGCTTTTGATTTTGAAAATGATTCAGATATAATTGTTTTGACTGAAGTGGTGCTAAATCATTATTGATTTTGGAATTTCTGGCCGTGAGCAATCAAAGTGGACTTGAGTTTTTGTAGCTGTCGTAGGAAATGCATTTTCAACAAGGGTGATATCGCCCCCAACAGGGGAAAATTGGTCCTTGGGGGTGAAAACGTCTTACTCTTATGTATAAAGCACAGATGTACTTACACTACAGAAAGAGATACACAGTATTTCTGCGAAGGTTGAACTCTGTGTTAGGTGTAGAGAGTCACCTTGCCCAACAAGCGACACCTTTCTAACTTTCCAAATTCCAAACGGACACGAGAGAGATCACCGTCGTTCAGCTCCACTTCATTGCCACCAGCCTGGATGTGGGATCTCAATGCCAGATCGCAGGTAAAAGGGAATCTCATTTTGAGCCTAGGGGACAGGAGAAAAAAAAATCAGACTTGTTTGAAGTAAGTAAGGCTTTTCAGGCTGTTCAGCTGTCTTTAAGTCCACCCAACCCCTGGCTCAATTAAATCTTTCCGATGTGAAGGAAAGACGTGCGTACAGTTGAACAGAAGTTCGGGTGTAGATACGAGTGGGTGGTGAGGGCTAAGGAGGTATATCATATTGGTTATTATACATTTTCTTTTCCCCCGTAACTTTCTCTTAAGAGAAAAATCCAAGAAGATATGTGTTTCTTAATGTTCTTCTTGTTTAAATCAAAATTGAGTATGAAAGCATATTCAAGATGGTAATGGTTTGGACACTGGGATATGAATGTATTTTGTGCATTTTGAGATAAAAGTGTTTCATTTATTGTAAGACGTGTCCAGGGTCCTCCATGGTGGTAGGTTCGTGAGCGTGTTCCTCTCTCCACCCTCCCCTCTTCTAACCACCTCTTTTCCCAAAAGGATGGCAATGATGCCAATTCTATCACGAGGTTGCCCTTCCCCCACAGTGGTCACTTTCTAGCCTTGAACATCCTCCTGTTTTTTCAGCTTAGACTAGTAGTGCCTCTAGTACAGTTACACAAGTCTGTGAACATTTTTTTTCTGCAGTAACCATGCAAAAGGCTACCAATACCCTGCAGAATTGCTCTCAAAGCCATTTGAGTGTAAGGCATCCTGATTTCATTAGTCTTGCCAGCTGTACTTAGGACAGCTGTTTGGGGTCAGTAGTGCATGGAATTTGTGAACTGAGATAAATCTGTTGGAAAATCTCAACTCAAATCTACTGTGCGTACTGTTTAGCTGCTAAGTTTTTCAATCATCTAAGCAGAATGTGTTTTCTTCTAGAAATAAGATTAACCCAGTGCCTCTTTCTGGCTCACTAGTATAATCAGATTAACCACCTAGATATGGGATTTATTTCTGTGTCTGTTTTATCCAGCTTTTATATACGTTGGGGTAATCATATACTGTTGCACAGAGCGTGCACTGCACAACTCTAGGATGCTCCATCCACATAGTCTCACGTCTGTATGTGACAGCCCTGAGTACAATGGCGTAGACATTCTGAGCGTTTGATAAATAAATACCTGCAACCTCACTGTCCTGTCATTCACATCGACCTTCTGACCAGCACTGTTTCTGGTGTATTTGATAAGCATTGTTCGTCACCAGGAATCTTGGCACCCCCTTAAGTCACTAGGGGAAGCCATTGCCCTAAATCTCTTCAAAGTCACTGATGCAGACATACCAGGAGAGTGACGAAGGATTAATTCCGGGTCCTGGTAGGCTTGCCCCACTCTTCTCTGATGGAATTTGTCTCCTTCTTCCCCACACGACCTTTCAGCCCCCTCTTTCATCACTTCAGTGGTGGAAGACTGTTGCTGAGTGGTGGAGTCGTTCAAACTCGGCCTGGGACTGGAATAAATCCAAGATCCACACCTCTAAGTACCGTGAGAAGCCACATGGCTCACGAGACTTCATAACCTTTGTGTCACTTGCCTTCTCCTGAAATTGTCTCTAAAGGGAATTGAATAACAAGGACTAAGATGCACCTTCCATATGTAATTCCAGGAAGCAGACCCGCCCCCACTGCTCTCCCTACGGTCGTGCACAGGGAAGTCCATTGACTTCGTTGCTAGTCAGATGGCCCAACGAGCTCGTGCCCACTTTCGTATCAGGCACCATCCTTGGCACAAAATACATTTGAAATGTTTTCCATTAATTTCTTCTTCATTTATGACCTTATAGGTAAATGCGTTGCGTTACATGCTTCTGTACACAGATCTTTTCTATCCTTAACTGGTGGTTGAAGCTCTTACATCACTTTAGCCTATTATTGCTATTCAGGATACAGTAGGACCCTCTGTATCTTATAGCTTGAATATACTACTTCCTTGTATGACTTATTTTTTAATTTACAACCCCTGATTTGGGGAATTCCCGGGAAGTCCAGTGGTTAGGACTCCACGCTCTCACTGCCCAAGGCCCGGGTTCACTCCCTGGTCAGGGAACTAGGATCCCACAGGCCGCGTGGTATGGCCAAAAAAACCAACCACCTGATTTGGACTTGGCGGATTAGCCTTTAGACCCCTAAAAGCTCTAGAAAAAAGATCACATTAAAGCTGTATGTTGAGCGAGTTTCGTTAAGGAACTGCTCTTCGGACAGTCTTATAAAGACAATTTATGGAATGAAAATGCAGTATTTGGACACACAGATGCTTCCATGTAGGAGGTAACGTAGGACGATCTGGAACTCCCAGGCACCTTTCTCATTACCACAGTGGCCTAGAGGTAGTAGAGGAAGAGGGACACAAGTGACAGTAAATTGTTTCTGAGCACCTTTCTAAGCTCAGCTCTTTCCCACCACTTGAGATTAACAGAGAGGGCGGGAAACTATCTACAATTGGGAAGGTGATTGAGATGAGGTGAGATGAGACATTTCTTTTTTTTTTAACTTTGTATTTTATATTGGAGAATAGGTGATTAACAATGTTGTGTTAGTTTCAGGTGTACAGCAAAGTGATTCAGTTATACATATCCATATATCTATTCTTTTTCAGATTCTTTTTCCATTTAGGTCATTACATAATATTGAATAGAGTTCCCTGTGCTATACAGTAGGTCCTTGTTGGTTATCTATTTTAAATATAGCAGTGTGTACATGTCAATCCCAATCTCCCTATTTCTTCTTAGGTTGCTTTTATGGTGGGAAGTCCCCTTTTTAAAAATTTATATAAATTTATTTAATTAATTTATTTTTGGCTGTGTTGGGTCTTCGTTGCTGTGCGCGGGCTTTCTCTGGTTGCGGCGAGCGGGGGCTACTTTTCACTGCGGTGCGGTGGCTTCTCTTGTTGTGGAGCGCAGGCTGTAGGCGTGCAAGCTTCAGTAGTTGTGGCTCGTGGGCTCTAGAGCGCAGGCTCAGTAGTTGTGGTGTGTGGGCTTAGTTGCTCCGCGGCATGTGGGATCTTCCCAGACCAGGGCTCGAACCTGTGTCCCCTGCATTGGCAGGCGGATTCTTAATCACTGCGCCACCAGGGAAGTCCGGAAGTCCTCTTTTCTCTCTCTTACCACTCGATCTTACAGTCTCTACCAAGATACTAGGACATTATAAAGCAAAGCCTCTCTGAGGCCCCCGTGCCGCATGAAAGTCTTGACTGGCTGTGATGTCCCGTTCCTAAAGGCTCTCCCTTGCCTCTCCTTAGAACTTCCCAACATCTGACAGCTCATTTGTTTATTTATTGAGCACGTACCGTGTCGAATGCAGCAGGAAATAAGGCAGTGTTTCAGCCCTCATGGAACTCATATTCCACGTGTGGCGGGTGAAAAGTGCCACGAAGAGGATCAAGAAGGGGGCGGAGACACAGAGGGATGGGTGCGGGGGACCCCTCTGATTCCGTTTACTTTGTGCAGTGGCCGTGCGGAGGGGCCAGTGTGGCTGCAGTAGGGAGAGCGGAGGCCAGAGCTGTACTTCCGGAGCTTGGAGAAATAGCCAGGGCAGATCACGTAGAGTGTGGCTGTGTTCCAGGAAAACCTCTTGCGCACTGAAATTTGAATTGTGCATCATTTTCATGCATCACGAAATAGGCTTCTTTCCATTTGTTGCAACCATTTAAAATTGTAGGAAGGATTTCTTGGCCCACAGGCCATACAAAAAGAGGCCGCAGGCTGGACTTGGCCCACAGGTCAGAGTTGGCCAACCCTGATCTGTATCATTACGCTGTTTTATCCTATTCATGGGACATATCAGTACCTGACATTTTTTATTTGCTTGTGTATAGGTTTATTGCTTTGTCACCGTCCACTAGCATGAAAGGTTTTTGAGGACAGGG